GATACAATATACTTTACATTTTTGTCTCATTGCTCTCGGTATGGACTGTGATTCTGAATCTGCTGGTGATCATCTCCATCTCTCACTTCAAGAAGCTTCACACTCCAACCAACATGATTATTCTCTCTCTGGCTGTAACTGATCTGCTTATTGGACTTATTGTGATGCCTGTGGAGGCCGTCAAACTGATTGACAAGTGTTGGTACTTTGGAGACACTTTCTGTGGACTCACTTTAATATTAATTTGGGTGATTCCCTCAGCATCTCTTAGTAATTTGGTTTTAATTGCTGTTGATCGTTACATGGCTGTGTGTCACCCTTTACTGTACCCACAGAAAATAACCATGGCAAACACACTTATGAGTATCTGTCTGAGCTGGGTTTACTATTCAGCTTATAACACTGCCCTATTATTTGACAATGGATATTTTGACACTTCACACAGAACAGATGTGTGTTATGGAGACTGTTCAGTCATGATGAGTTTTAGCTGGAGAGTCACTGATCTGTTCATGTGTTTTATTTTCCCCTGTGTCATGATTATAACTTTATATCTGAGGATTTTCTATGCTGTTCATCAGCAAGTGAAGGTTATAAACTCTCTGATGAAGGGTGGTAAATGTGTACTGAAGGGTTCAGTCAAGAGGAAATCTGAGAGTAAAGCTGCGCTGACTTTAGGAATCATTGTGACCGTTTATCTGCTTTGCTGGATTCCTTACTATATCTGTACATTAACTGTAAACTCTTCCACAGTTATAAGTGTTTTGACATGGATTGTGTATGCTAACTCAGGTCTGAATCCTCTGGTTTATGCTTTATTTTACCCCTGGTTTAAAAAGACAGTTAAACTGATCTTAACTCTAAAAATATTTCATCTTGCATCCTCTCTGGTCAATATTTTTACACATCATGAACTGTAATCAAACTGCTAAAGCTGTTTCTCATAACATAAGGTTAATTTTATTAAAAAAAATCAAACAAAATTGCTAGCGATAACATTGTCCTTTTGTTTCTAACATCTACGTTCATTGCAGGACATTGAAAATGTTAAGGGTAAATAATGTTCAGATAACACTAGTGAATCAATAATGTATCAGGGTATTGTATTAAGAAACCTTCCTTTTTTCCAATCCACAGGTCACACATGAAAGCTGAACTCATTGTATCTGAGGCAGTGTTGCATCACTTCAGTGCTGTGTGGACGCCTTTACAATATTTCACACCTGTAATGAACGGTTCAGTGAAGGATCATGAATGTCATCAATAACACATAAAACACAAATCTAAACAATTATAATTGGTCCTCAGAGTTGTTACATCATTGATGTTTTCACTGATCAGTAAGAGTAAACAAAGACAGACCAACCCATGTGACTGCCAGGAGAGAGGCCTACTGTACCAACACTGCCATTTTACAAGCTCACAGTACAACATTACAACCGTTGATATATATATTTTTTATGCAAGAGTAATACTTAAAATAAAATAAATGACCAGGGTAATGTATTTTTGACAGAAAACCCCTCCATGATCAAGAGTGACGGCAAATTCAAACCACTTACTAATTCAGAAAAATCCTGTATTTGGATCTGAAAATCTTCCCTAGGTTTTTACAAGAAATACAAGACATAACTTGGCTTGATGAATGTTTGTTGTTAAGGGAATATTTCATCTATAAATCATATTTGTCCTTATATTAATTTGCTTCCAACACCATAGAACACACAAAGAAATCCTAAAGACTTTTCTTCATGCAGAGACTCACAATGTGAAGCAGCACAACAATATACATGAGCAGTTATAACCCGAAAGAGATCAAGTGTCTGAAGCCCAAGAATTTGTTTTGACATTTAACTATTCTAGAATCACTATAAACATTGAGTAACATTTTTTTTTTTCCTTTGGTGTGACACCCCTATTAATTAAAAATGTCCCACAAGAAAAATAACAATCAGGAGCTCTCTCTTGTAGGGGTGTGCTTATGATGTAGCGCCTGTTGTTGGTGTCCCAGGGGAAAACCCTCCTGCACACACCTGACAACAGTTGATCAAACTGGGCTCAGCACAGTGGGAAGCACTGATGAAAACCTCCATCATCCAGGTTAAGTTTCTGGAGGGGTTGATGAGCTCACAGAGCTGGCACACTTCTGAAAGAATCTAGTGGACTCAGACACGGCTCCAAACATATCGAAGCTGTTTTTCAGCCTTCATTAAGCACATAAACACATTAATTCCCTCAATATAATCCATGTTAGCCATTTAGCAACGAAGCTACAGTCACCAGGCAGACAGAAGCCCCACCTATTACGCAATTCCTTGTTTAGTGAAGCGGATTTGATGCGCAAATGAAGCAAGTCAACTCCGAATGTTCAAGCGTCTATTTACGCACAAATAGCACAATTTTTCCTTAAGTACCTCGTCTGGTGTGAACAGCATAAGATAGTCAATAAATAAGCTTTTTGATTTAGGTTTCCATTTACATTTTCCTTGTTGATTATATTTTACTATCACATTTTATGTCTCAATTACTTAATTAAAAACTGCAAACTATCTTCAGTAAACTTTCTTCTACTGAATCTCTGACTTCAGCTCTTCTTCATCTGACAGACTGCTCATTTTTGGGTTCAAACTCTACATTTCCCCTCACAGTGTTTTACTGTCAACTCCCCATGAACAAAATCACACATGACAAAAGATTTTTCACATAATCATTTTACTTGTATATAACAACTTTACAATTTTATTTATTTACAGAGTGCAATGAATGCTTAACATCCTAGCAGATAAATATCATCAAAGATCATGATTAAAGTGCTTTTCGTTGTATAGTAATGGGATGCATTAGACAAGTACAAATATCACACGTTTTAAATGCAGTCACAGTCTGAGTGCACTGTTCAATTAAAACTAACACTTCATACATCATGCAGCATAACATAATACAGTGCAGTAAGATTAACAAGATTACACGTTATTGTTTCTTATAAGTTATTCAATAACAGCTTAATACTACAGGAATCATTTCCTTAAAGAGATAATTCACCCAAAATTGAAAGCTCACATCATTTACCGACCCTCAAGGTATTCCAAATCTTTAAGAGTTTTAAATAATGTTAGAAACTGGTAACCATTGACTTATTGACTTACAAAGGAAAAAAACAGACACTATAAAAGTCAATGGTTACACGTTTACACCATTTTCTAAAATAACTTTTGTTTTCAACAGATTAAAAAAAAAAGCTCAAACAGGTTTTTGACAAACCAGGGGTAAAAAAATGTGACATTTTACAATTTTGTGTGAACTATCCCTTTAATACAAAAAAAAATCTGAACAATTAATTTTACTGTGAGATCTTAACATTTATAAAAGTGATTTACTGTGCGATCTTAACATTTAAGGAGCTACAGATAGATCTGTTGGAACATCAACTGTTAGATCATCTTAAAAAACACTCAACTTTCTCGCTGCTGAATTAATTGTATACATTGCAAAACATCATATAAATGAGTAATGAGTAATATGAAGACTGCCACTAAAAGATAAACACCAGGGCCTCATTTAGAAAGTGTGCACTTACTTATGGCGTACTCACACTAGTATGTACAGTTGCCTTGAACCGGGCCAAAGCATGATTGTCCCCCCTCTAGTCTCCCCCTCATATTACATTCGAGCCTGGGCACGCTTACGTCATCGACGATGCGCTGGTTTGAAGCGCTCACGCTCAGCACAAAAGAGATTTCTTTAGTTATGTCGTTTGACATGCACTGACAGGCAGTTAAATATTTCGCCGAACAGATCAGCGGCTTTTGACGCTCATAAACAATCAAAGTCCTCGTGCTGCAGGAATTAGGAGGTTTGCTGAAGGTGCAGCTGTTGTGCAGTGAGGGATTTGTGTCTTTAATAAACTACAGCAGTTTGCGTTCACTGAACAGTAAGAATGATTAATCAATCCATATGAAACGGCCAAAAAGTCATGCCTCGCTTTCAGTTTTGGGCTTGGGCATGTTTTGCACTCACACACAAGTGTACCGCGCTAAAGCCCTAGTGAACCGCACTCAGGCATACCTCTTCCAACCGGGCCAGGGCCAGCCAAATAAACCATACCTGAGCCCGATTCAGCACACTCGCACTTCTCAAACGATCCGGGAAACAAGCCTGGACACGGTTCGGATAGCACAGTGCGAGTACGCCTTTAGACGTGACCTTAGAGTGCGCGTAAGATTAAATTCACAGCAATCTTTACCATGTAAAAATACTAACAAGGTTTGAGCAGGCGTACACATTTTAACTGCTGGCAAAATCATAGAACTGCAGCTATTTGAATATATCTCATCAAAGTGCCTTATGTGCATCAGATTCATCATAAACAACAAAGATGCATTGTGAGACTGCATGTAGTCAGATGTTTTAAACAGGACTTTTTGCAAGATTTAACTGACCTTTTAATAGTCTAATGTTGAGAATGCTACACAGTTTACGTCATGTTTTTTATTATAATTTTACTTGAGAATTTGCAATGTCTTGATTTCCTAATGTATAAAATCAACAATAAATAAGAGCTAAAAATAAATTCAAAAAATGAGTAATCATCTGCTGCTTCTGTGAAACCATGCAATCGACCTTAAATGTTGCTTTTGTCATTTAAATCAGATATATTTGAACAAAATATTATTTATTGCATCCGTATAATAATGGCCCATGTGAGCTGCATTAGTAAACTGTAAATATAAAGAGGGTCCAAATTGAATGCAGGTTTTGTTTTTAGACCAGTGACCATAATTATACGGCAAATCCAATTTTTCCAAGGCAGCACTGGTTGGCTAGCACTGTTGCCCCACAGCTAGTAGGTCACTGGTTGGAGTCCCGGCTAAAGTTTGCATGCTCTCACAGTGTTGGTGTGGGTTTGAATGAAACCCAATGTATGATTGAAACATCCAAATTTTCTTTCTATAATACTCCATATGGAGCATTTCCTCTGCGGGCAGGACCTCAATTTCAGATTTTTTTTTTTTTTTTTTTTTTTGTGCTCATCATTCTCAAGCATAGAAAAGCAGATATGTATTAATCAGATAATTAAGGGACGTTTACAAAGTGGAGATCTGATAGCATTCATCTGTGCACAATTTCAAGATCATTTGATATTTAGGCCCTGTCTACACGAACACGGGTGTTGTTTATTTTTTACACTGGTTTGCCGTTTGTCCACATGAAAACCTAGTATTTACATACAAAAAAAGTGTCTGCATTGCCTTTGTATGTTACTTACGCAAATACTTAATACTGCTTTTGATAATCACCGATTGTTGGCTCAACATGCCCTTGAACTGGCATTTTTGACGTGCATTTTTTTTTTAATGAAGATGGTAAAATGTCCTCAAACAAGAGGCATATGAATGAGGATTTAGGAATGTCCAGATTTGATCGGAATCAGATGTTACCACCCGATCAGGACTCGAAAATACATGAATACATTATATATTCTCATTATTTTTTAACACATCTGTAGTTATGCGGTGGCACAGAGTTAGAGCTCTTTCTTGCCATCACACAGAAACAGTAACACGTGTGGCATGACATCAATTTGTTGCAGAGATGCTATTGGTTAAATGCTGGCAAAGTAAAACACGAAATCAGCTTGAAGCGAAAAGCGCAAGTATGTCTGTGGTCTGGAGCAATTATAAAGTTGCATTGCATTGCGTTGCAGTTTGCATTGCCATAGCAAACTGTGAGATATGCATTTTTCTATGTTTACTGTTGTGCTAAAGTCCGAAAGTGAAGAATTGATGTTATTTATTACTCGATTGTTCAAGCTACCTCACGGACGTGCTCCGTTTGTTAACAGAGTTGTTGAATGTTAAAATAAGTTGAATTAAATTAAAAAAATAAGGATTACCCTTGATCTGTTACTTCGCTCTTTTTTTTTTTTTTTTTTTACAATTTTTTTATTCATTTTATGCATTATAGAAGTATCGGACCGGGTTTTGGTTGATACTCAAAATCAAATGACTCCGACTTGGACTTGAGGGCAAATAAACTCTGATTGGGACATGCCTAGTTTTCTTTGAATTACGCTTTAGCTAAATGATCTTTCAAAATAAACATTTTATAAATGAGGCCGCAGGTGTGTTTGCTACGCGTCTTTAGTTCATTTGTAAATTCCACTCTCAATAGCAAACTGTTCACGATAGCCTTCCAATAAAATCCTTTGGAACAAAGTGACTCTGTGTTCAAGATTCCCGAGAAAGCTAAACGGATATTCCTGAAGCTCTGCATCCTCTCTCTTCGCTTTCTGTTGCCTAATCTTTTCTTCTGCTTCTCGAAACATCTCTTGAGTGTAGCATTCTCCTCCATTTACTGCCACCATTTGATCAATCTTATCAATTAATGTCTTGACTTGAGTGCGATCCTTTATATTGTTATTGAACACCGCATATCGACCACCACAACTCTGGATGACTCTGCGGAGCTCGATGTGGCCTTCCCTCACATACTCATCTATAGTTTGACCTTCGAGTAAATCTCCATGAGTGAAGAGCACGATCATGTAGTTTGAAGCATCTTCCCCGAACAGCTCTTGCAGGGCTTGGACAGCTCTTTGCTCTTCAGGGGTGAAACGGCCGATCTGTATCACCAGCAGGAAGGCATGAGGACCTGGTGCTGAAACCTTAATACATTTCACAATTTCTCTTTTGATGATGTCTTTCTCTCTGCTGGTATCCAGGATTCCAGGAGTGTCGATCACGTAAATTTCTCTTGTATCATAAACTGATGCTTTATGGCATGATTCAGTGACTGAGTTTGCAGAAGGCTTTGATTCAAAAACCTTTCTGTTTAGGATGGTGTTTCCCACAGCGCTTTTTCCCACTCCTGTTTTCCCAATCATCACGATGCGAAGTGTCTGACCAGGTAAGACTAAAAAATAAAGGGCAAATGATTCAGCTATTACAGATGAATCCATCTTAGATGCAGAAACAGAAGAAGCAGAATGTGCAAAATCCAAAACTTTTTTTAAAAACCATATTAATCATTAAATAAACACTTTTCAGTGGTCCACACTCATTTCACTTGTCCAGAGCAAATATTTAATCCATCTTTCTGAGATTAAAAAGGGTGTCTGAAATATTAAAATATTTAATCAGTGAGTACGTTTACATGGAAACCAATAATCTGATTTTAATTCGATTAAGACAATACTCTGATTAAGAGTCGACCATGTAAACATCAGTTTTTTATTAATTTAATCGTGCCAATTTAAGTCGCATTATTAAAGTGCAGAATATACATGTAAACACCTTAAACTATTACCGTTGTGTAAGACTTAGCCACGTTTTGCAACAGGATAGTCTATACACACACAGCTGTTTGACACTCTTCTCTGCATACAAAGTCAGAAGGACCACAGACACCTGCATCGCGTAATGCTGAGGTTTTTTTTTTCTCCCATTTGGCATGCGGTATCAAATTCCATTAAAACAACACTCTTCCCCCAGTCCTTATACATCGTAGTCAATGTTGTAGTCATGGCATGATTAAAATGTACCCGAATGAAAGTGAAAGTGTCAAACTGGAGCTAAAGTTCACAAATTAAAAAATAAATCACGCAAAATTACATGAAACCCCGGAGGAAATGTGAACAGCGCGGTGTCGCAATGACGTTAATCGAATAGGGTATATGCCGAGCTAGTGCTGTTCCCATACTGATAAACTTCCGGTGACCTGTTATTGTTATTTTTTTCCATTTTATACGATTCCTTTCACAACATCGATGTTGTAATGTAGTTAAAATAGATTCAGTTAAACAGACTGTGGCATTCATTTAGTTGCTCAACTGTAAAACGAGACAAAAAGCCGTTTACTTGCATGCGCCTGTAAGAATCGGCAGGCTAGCGCAGAAGCTCCATTGAATATACTGGGGTAAAACAAATGCTCATATTTTAAAGACATGACGGGGGAAAATGTAATGTAATGCAGTGCTTCTTGTACAAATCAGAGACCCACTTTATATCGGATATCACTCAGCCAGTGGAAATCGATGATTTATAAAGAAAACAGACCTTTCCTCCTCAGAAATGTTAACCCAGGTTACTGGCAAATTAAAAGTCCTATTAGCATGCTTCGGCTTGTTCCCTATTATGCACTATAACATGTAAGGAACATTTAAAAATCAACTCATATAAACACCTTAAACATATTATGATTTTAATCAGAATAACGCAAATAACTCAATTACTGATGTCCATGTAAACGTAGTCAATAAGACCAGAGTAATGGTTATTAGCTCACCACATCAGTTGCGCAAGGCAGAGCAGACTTCCCCAAGTATGGATGGTTCTACTTTAGAGTTTCAAACTAAACTAAAAACTCTGGGTGCGGTATTTGATGCCAACCTTATTTCTGAACAGCATGTGCGCAACACAGTCAAGATATGTTTTTTTCTTCTGTGAAACATTGCCAAACTTCGTCCCAGGCTGCCCTTTTCTATTGCTGAAAAATTCATTAACACCTTTGTATTTTCTCGTATTGACTATTGTATTGCTTTGGTGGCTGGAGTTGCAAAAGCCACCCTAAACAAGTTACAATTAGCACAAAATTCACCAGCTAGAATTCTGACCTTTATTTTTTAAAATCTGCTCTGGTTTCCTGTCAGCTTTTAAATTGGTTTTAAAATCCCCATGCTTGCGTACAAGGCCTTGAATGGTCTAGCACCACAATATTTATCTGAGCTTATTTATCCTAGATGTGCTTTACACTCGACTGATGCGGGTCTTTTAACTGCTCAGCCAACGTTGCCAAAATCTACAGGAGACCGGGAACTCTCTTCATTAGAAACTCTTTACTTTATCCTCTGATATTCACAATGCAGAATCCCTATGTATTTTTAAAATCCTTACCTAAAACTTACTCTTTTTATGGTAGCTTTTATTTAACGTTATTTCACTTTTTTTACTTTTTTCTTTTTGCATTCATCCTTGTCTTTTTCTGCTGCACATTATATGTCTGTAAAGTGCCTTGAGATGCTACTTTTAAAGGTGCAATAATAAAGTTTATTTTTATTATAATTATTATTACTAAATATTTCTTAAAACAAGATATTTTTATTTTTGAAGCAAAATATCACAAGATAAATAATACTGAACAAAAGATTTAAAGTCATTTTATGCTTTATACAAGACAAAATTGGCAGGCAATGAGGTGAGAAACTCACTCACTTTTTTTTTTCATTTTTCTAAAACATACCAGAGTAATAGGGAGTTCATTCTGCTGTGGCGAGACCCTGATAAAGCATGTACTACTCTTTATCCTGGTTTCGCTACAGTGGAATGAACCCCCTATTAATCTGGTATATATTTTAGAAAAATACACTGTTAATAGCGCATTTTGCAGAAAAGTCGCTGAATTTTATGTCTTAAACAGCAGATAAAATATATATAAAAAGTGTCAAAGCACCATATGTTTGTTTTTGATAATTTTTTGTTTAAGTTTACTAAATTAGATTACTAAAGTCTCACAAGAAAATTCCATATTGGTTTTTACACTTCAAAAATCATTACTTGTTATTTCTTTATTGTTATTTGTAAATCTGACTAGCAATTTCTGAATGAAAATTGTTTATATGCCAGTTTTTAGAAGTGTGTTAAATTTACTTATTTGTATTCATCAATTATTCAACAAAAAGGTTATTTATTTATTTACTGATTTACTTATTTATTCATTTTACTAGAAGCTCTACATGGAGCCTAAAAGGTAAAACAATGAGGTAGAAATAAAAAAAGCAAATACATTAACTGAAAAATTAATAACAACAACAACAACAACAATAATAAAAACAACAAAAAATAATTTAAAAAATAATAATAAATCAATTATAAAAAAATTATAAAATTGTTAATTGAAAATTTAAGTTGCAATTATTTAAGAATTTTAAAAACAAATAACTAATACAGAAGAAATGATGTAAGATAACTAAATTTGTTTTTTGAAAGATTTTATTCTATGTAATGTAATTGTATGCTTAAATCAATACAGAAATATCTGCCAATGGAGTAAGAAAAAAAAAACACCCAAGTTAATTTTTTGTACTTCATAAATTGTTTTCTCCAGTCACATTTGAACCATAAATTTGCTGAATTGAGGAGTTCTTGTGAAAGTCATAATGTCGCCACTGGCTTGCTTGGTTTGGGACTTGTAGAGCTGCGCATTGATGGATTTGCTCTTCAGTGTTTTGACTTTTAGCAGTGAAAATTAAACCACACTGAACTGAAGTAAACTGAACTGAACTTCAACTCGGAAATCTGGAATGACACCGTTTCAATTTACTAGAACTTCAATGTGAAGCTGCTTTGACACAATCTATATTGTAAAAGCACTGTAGAAATAAAGATTAATTTAATTGATGTTGTTATATACATTTTAATATGTTTTGCTTTAGGTAATCTTATTTTGGTTAAATGGTTCAATATTTGTATTAGAATCCTTCCAGTCTACAGGTGGAAGGTATCGGTCTTCATGGAATGAATCTATACAATGCATGAGCTTCCCTTTTTAAACTGAATTACTAAAATCAACTTTTCATGACATTCGAATTTGAGATGCACTTGCATGCTTTACATTCACATTTTTACAGTCATATTTTTGCACATTAAATAAATACACTTGTGCACATAATGAATTTAAAATTGAAAAAATTTTAAAAAGTTTTAACCCAAAACTTACTTCTCTGAGATGGAGATGAAGATCTCTGTCGCCGACAACACGGACACCTGGAGGCCATTTCCAACAGTTTCTCTCAGCGATGACTGAAACTATTTCTTTGAGTGTCTCTTATTAGTACTTAAGACTGTGACGCCACTCCCTTGGTTTTTTTTTAGCAATGCATGAAGCTGCTTTTTCTTTCATTTGCTCACTCGCTTCCTGCTTCTCCACATTTACAGACCTAACCAAACGATGTTTTCTGCAGCCTGCTGAACAGACTTGAAATTCAACATGCCAAAAGGTAAAGCGTAATTGTAGATTTCTTTTGCCAATTTTTGAGCGTTACACCCGTTGTTACGTTATTATATTGTTATAAGTAAACTATTTTAACCCTTTACAGGAGAACATAAATCTGCAGGTGACGTTTCAGCAGACGACAGTGTTGTCACTGTTGTGCTTCTGGGACAAAACAGCACTGATAAATGCCTTGTAGGAAACACAATGCTTGCATTTAAATGCTTCCAGCCAGGACAACGCATGTATCAAAAAGCTCTGGGAAGAGTCGGGAACGAGCTGCTCTACATCATAAACACCCCCGAATTTTTCTGGAGCCCAAACCAAGACCCAGAAACCAATGCTATAGAGGCAATGAAGCCATCGTACCCCGGTTCACGCATGTTCCTGCTGGTACTTCAAAATAAACAACTCTCCAATGAAGAAATGGAGATGTTCACCAAACTGAAGGAGAGATTTGGAGAGAAGATAGTGGAAAACATCACTGTGGTGCTGATCGATAGCAAAGAGTCATCAGAAGTGTCTCGCGACACAGCAAATGCCAGTCTCAAACAGATTTTGCACGAATGTAATGAAAGAATGTGTGTTTTCAGCAAAGATATGAGAGGAGTCGATCTGGTCGGACAACTTCTGCCAGAGAAACCAGATGAGGATCTTGACAGGTAGACTGATATGTTACAAGTTGAACATTTAAAGTTTAACATATAAATAAATGAAAATGTGTCATTGTTCTTTTCATTAATGTGTATCATCTTTTAGGTCAAATGTTGACAACAATAAGCAAATTAATCCAGAGGAAAAAGACAAGTCAGAGCAGCCAAAGCCTATGCAAGGTAATGTTTTGCTATTATTTGAAAAATAATTTTCTAGGCCAAATCTAGATGCTTTAAAGATACTTTAGGAAATTACATTAGAAGAGTCAAAAACGTACACACAGAACTTTTTATAAAGCGTGAAAATATCATAATTTGTTTGCATATATTTAGGAAACATGCTCAGTAAACATTCTTGTTTATCTGAAAAAACAATGCTGGTCAGATATTCTGCTTTGAAAATGTGTTTTCTGTGCCAGAACGCTGTCGTTGTTTTGGTTATTTTCACCTGCCCAATGCCAGTTTAGTCAATTATATTTCAGCAGCCCTGGTTGCCTTGTTGGAAAATTGAGTATTTAATTAATTTATTCAGAAGGGCTTTGAAAGCATGGGTTCATGACAGAAATGCGACCTCCGGCGGACAGCAGCAGCCTCCGAAATGAGACAGATTCAGTTCCACATGAGGTTATTAATTAGCAAATGATATAATTATTATGAACGTAAACATGAGCAGCTTACATTGTAACCATGTCGTAACAAGCTTTGTGACAAGATATGCAGTAATAAGCAATCTAGCTGTTTGCACCAGACGAAACACAACAAATGTACAGCCATTCAGAAGCACAGAATATGGACTCACTCACAAAATGGTTTATAACCTATTTATGACATATTAACTCTCTTTAACGTTATTAAATGTACAGTAGATGCTGAGTCACTCATGTGTTTACTTCTAAAGTTCAGTTTCAAACGGTTTATTTCCAAATTTGAGGTGAATCATCTGCTGCTGCTTTCAGCATATGACAATAAATGTCATGAAAAATGGCATTCAAACTCACATTATGAGCATTTAACACTGACAATGATCACACCAGGTAAACCTCATGTGCTTTATTCAGTTTACTGGTGTTCTCCTGTGAGAAATAGAAGCAGTTTCAAATATCAATTTGAGGTGTTGGTTAGAACAAAAACCCCTTTAAATATGGTAAATATTCCTTCTATCGGGTGTCATTGCTTTTATTTAGAACACGGTTTAAATCACTCACTCATGTCCTCAATCTGGCAACCAAGAGATTAGGGGTTCCTGTGTCCATAGTGCAAGTCTTCTGTGTGAGAATAAACATTTACTGATTGAGCGCCAGTATATATCTGCCCTAAATGTTGAATATGCAAGAGAGAATCTGATAATGACAAATTTTTTAAATAGTCTATTTATATGTAGTCAATGACAGAGTGCAAGAGTATGAGTATAGCATAATTAACCCTCTCAAAATTTCATTTAGAATTATGCATAGTTGTATTCTGATGTCGTGTCACGGTCGGTGAGGGGAAAAAAAAAAAAGAGCGAAGACCCAATTGCAGAAAAATGTAGGATTATTTATTATAAAATACAAATAAAAATAAAAGGCAAAACAAAAAGTACCCCTAGGGGGAAAACTCTAATAAAACAAATTAACGAACAAACAAACTTGACTGGCAGGACAAGACAGGGCTGGACACAACTATCGACGACAAACTGGCAAAGGACTGAAAACATAAGGGGGATTATAAAGCAAAAAGTAAATTGACACACAGGTGAACATGACAAATTAATAATGAGTTCACAAGGAGGGTGGGACTAGACAATAGACGGGAGAGCGCATGACACAGAGAGACAACACAAGCCATGCGCTCACATAAAACAGGACAAGAACATGCAGCCAATGAGAGAACTCATTAACCGCATGTTCATGACAAGACAAGCACAACACTGAAGCACACGACAAAAGCATGTGACCACGATGCAGTGGTGGTAAGAGTACAAAAAAAATGTACTCAATTACAAGTACTGTTACATTGCTGAAATTGTACTCAATTACAAGTAAAAGTACTGGTGTTAAAAAGTACTCAAGTAAAAGTACAAATTACTCTTCGTAAAAACTACTCAAATTACAAAATTACAAATTACTTTTTTAGCTTGGCGGTATTGGTGGAAATATCCATAAATGCGGAGTCAGACAAGATCCAGGCAGTAAAACACATTTTACATAACACATTTAAAGATACTATAAACACTTTTAAAACTGTTTAAACAGCATTAATTATAGATAATAATTATAGAGCACCTATAGAGGAAACCCACGCCAACATGGGGAAAACATGCAAACTCCACACAGAAACACCAACTGACTCAGCCAGGGCTTGAACCAACAAACTTTTTACTTTGAGGCGATAACAATACCCACTGCGCACCATGATTATTTTACAAAAACAATGTTTTGTTATTTTGAGTTTAAAGATAACAGAAATATGCACAAATGCACGACTTTTTATAATTTCAACTGATGCCTCTTTTATCTGTACGATCAATAGATGATGTAATAAATAAAAAAAAAAACACTTGCAAATTATGGAGAAACTTTGTTAATTACCTAATTCGCGAACTGAACCGTCAGAAACCACAGAACAACACTGCCTAGTGCCTAAACATATTATTAATAAATATAATATCACAGAAATTAAGTTATGTCTTCTTACCATAATGTTTTTTTTTTAGATTATAGATTGAAGTCTTAAAAAAAGGGTTTCTGCAGATATCATAATGTCAAATTTAAGACTTTTTAAGACCATAAAGTATTAAATTTAAGACCTATATCACAATATCAAAAGCATGCAAGAGAAAATGCAAAAACACAAAATTTGTGGTAAAATAAAATTATTTAAATAGAACAGTACTGAAGACAGGTTAGATGCACCATTGAAGTGCAGGAACAAAAAAACAAAGAAACAAACATTTTGAGGCTGATTTATACTTTCGCCTGGCTCCGCATTGCACACCTCCGCTGACTGTGCGCGCACCTCAAGAAATGGATGAGGCTTTAATACTAGACGTGTTCGTCATTGTGATATTCTTTAAAACATCAGGGGCCAGTCAAAAGAAACCTCACTGTAAAGTCAGACGGATAAACAGAGAAGTAAAACGTTTTCAGAACTACGTCATATCTTTAATATTGTTCAAGATTTTAAAAATAATTATTTTTCATTATTTTTATAATTTATTATGATTACAAAGTTGGGTGACGGGGTGGGGCAGTGGGTAGCACTCTCGACTCAAGGCAAAAAGGTCGCTGGTTCAAGCCTTGGCTGGGTCAGTTGGCATTTCTGTGTGAAGTTTGCATGTTCTCCCCGTGTTTGCGTGGGTTTGCTCAAGATGCTCCGGTTTTCCCCACAGTCCAAAGACATGCATTTTAGGTGAATTAGGTAAGCTAAATTGTCTGTTGTTGTAAATGAGAATGGGTTGCAGCTGGAAGGGCATCCGCTGTGTAAAACATATGCTGATAAATCATTCGGTTCATTCCGCTGTGGCGACCCCAGATTAATAAAGGAACTAAGCCAAAAAGAAAATTAATGAATGATTATAAAGTTTTATAACTATTCAAGATTTTTTTAATTAGAGTTTGATGCATCACTCACTTGTGTTTATATCTCAGACAGTTCTACCTATTAAAGTTAAATGTCAATGACAACAGAACATGGGTTACTCTACAATTATTTTTTTTATTCTGGCAAGAATAATAGCAAAAAAATATATATATTATTTTTTGCCCACTCAACAATTGACACATTATTGTCTGGCTAGTTTCTGTCCTCTACTAATGAGCTGAAAAGGCAATAATGGTCCAACAATCCTGTCTATTATCACCAATAAAGCCTATAAATTAAGCTTGAGTACACTGTAAGCCAATGGGCTCATATATTCTTTTCCAGTTATCAAATACTTAATTTGTTACTTATTTTTTTTTACATTGCTTTAACTTCAAAATGATACATCAGTTTAAAACCAATAAATGGTGAAAAAACATATTCTGTAATCTTAAAACCACCTGGGTCTCCACTTTTGCCATGGCCTCTTTTTTGTTGTAACAAACTTATCCCCTAGGTTTTTCCAAACTTTAACAAAACACTTCCTTTCCATGGCTGTTGCAATTTCTAGCCAAGAATTATTGGTCATCTGGTCATCTCTATGCTGATCACGCATGGTCGGATAGTTAAGATGTCTGTACAGTCGTACTGTTACAGACAAAATCTCTTCAAAGTGATTCAAATTCAACTCAAATCAAGCGCGGCGCCGCGCGAACTGTTCACCCGAAATCATGTCGCGCGCGTCCAAAGTGAACCTCCGCAAACACGGCGATGACGTCACATTCGCCGAGCGCACTGAGCTATTGCATGCTGGTCTTTTCTTATTTGTAGTTTTAATACTGCAAATTACAATAGGAATAGTGAAATAAAGAACTACACCACCACGAAACCAAGCAACAACAAAAAAAATTAAATGAGCATTAGGAGTAGCGTTACATGTACATCGGAAAAATAAGACCTGTGCAAACATATTTCAGACCTAGAACAGCGAATTTGAGACTTTTTAAGGCCTAAAATTTAGATGTTTATATTTTAGACATTTTAAGACCCCACGGAAACCCTGTGTAAGCCGGATGGTACAGCAGAGGGCAGGTTTCATCCACCTTTTTTTGCGCTTTTTGGATATGCACATAAAAACGGTTGATGGAAACGCTATAATGCGCATATATTTTGAAAATGTGTGTGAATGGACAAACCAGCAGGCTAAGCACATTGTAAAACATCTAAAGTGTTGTTTTGGTCATTTTAAACCGCCTCAACCATTTCAGTATTATATTATATTAATAATGACCTCCAGAATTGTCAAGAGTGCCTGCACTCCGTGTCTCGCGCCTTCCAGCGCGCGTTCACTGCGTGCAGGATTGCCTTCTGATGCGCAAGTCACTTATTAAATGAAGATAATTTATTCATGCAGCTGCTCCTACTGATGCTAATTCTGTTTTTACTTTTGATATTTGTCGCCAGTTAATCAGGTGGCAATTTTGTTCTCTTTGACTTGTTGGACAGAAACGCTGCTTTATTTCCAGTCTTTTATGCGATATTCCAGTTTTGGGCATACATTTAATTAGCATTTTAGATGATACCATAGCTAATCACATCAGCACAGCTGTCCCCTTTTTTCCCTATGTACCTGTAGGTGAACAGCTCCTCCAGGTGTGGCAGCATTCATCCTCTGCTATTTCTTCCTCATTCTGTCTTAAATCTCCATATGTAATTGATAACTTTGTGACTGTATGATGACGGTCACGTAAATCTGCAGTAGCCTGAACTTGTTTTTCAGTTCAAATAATGTACCAGGCTTTTCATTGGTCCGTTAAGATCAGCTTTTTTTATTGGCTACCGAAATGCTGGTCAGTGCGTGGCTGAAATATTAATTTATTTACAGTACTCTGTAACGAATTGTGATTTTAAAAGTAACGAAGTAGATTACTCAGCTTAATTTTTACTCAAGTACAAGTAAAATTACAGGCTTAAAATTCTACTCATGAAAGTACAATTACCCCAAAAATGTACTTAATTACAGTAACGTGAGTAGTTGTAATTCGTTACTCCCACCACTGCCACGATGTAAACACCAAGCCACGTGCTTTGACAAGAGACGCAAGAGACGAGCACACGATAGATAAAACACCTTACCGTGCGCTCACACATAAGCAACGCGCATGCTTCATCTCAGCGCCAACCAAAACTGAAACCAATCTAGACGGAGGCACCGAGAATAAAGCAGCGCGATGCTGACAGAACAAAACACACAAGAGCACGCGCGTCTGAGGGACGCAGAGCGCGCGCGCGGCCACATCAAGCGGCAGCGCGCACATTTCCCGTACACCCACGACGCCCGCGCGCACACAGAGACAGAAACAGGACCAGACATGGGTAGTGTCGGAGCTCTGAAACCAAAACAAGAATTTACAAGACCAGAGTGGCAGAACCCTGACATGTCGTCACTGTCTTTTGCATTGGACCAGGACCATGGCCTCTTCTCAAAAGCCCCCCATCCCCCATGTATTTATAATATTTGTTATAAATAAATATAAAAATATTTTATTTATTTTAAATAAAAAACGTATTATAATTGTTGACAGAGCGCCACATGAAATCTTGCCTAGGATGCCAAATTGGTTAGGGTCGGCCCTGTGAACTAGATCCCAAGAATCCTGCAAGTGCAACAAGAACAACTGCGAGTACAATACTGTAAAAAAGGGTGAGCTACCAAGCAAACTAACCATGCTTGAAAAGTTGTCCATATGAAGATAGATAGGTGACACAAATGTATTCAGTTACAAATCATACACACTTCTAAGCAGTTTTGTGGTGTTTCTTCAGTGTTGTGCAAAGAACTGAACTTAAATAATCCTTTATTCGTCAATAATGTCCTCATAAATATCATTAGTGTGAAAAGGAGCAAACGTTATTGACATCATACTACTGTTAATTTCACCAAGAAACTGCACTCAAATGTATGTTAAAATACGTTTTTGCAGTTTCATAAAAATGTAGGCTAACGCATGCATTTTCAAAAGACCCTAAAGTCTGTTTATATATATATATATATATATATATATATATATATATATATATATATATATATATATATATATATATATATATATATATATATATAACATTTTCTATACATGTATTTTATTTTCTCATAGAGGAGAGCATGACCATTCAGCCATCTGGGGGTGAAGGCATGACCACTATGGTGCTGCTGGGATTAAACAGCGATGATAAGTGTCTGATAGGCAACAGTATCCTCCAGCATGACTGTTTTACACCTGGAAGAACCATCTGTGATCGGGTTGTGGCTCGAGTAGGCGATCAGATGGTCTGTATTGTCAACACCCCAGACCTTTTTGTCTTCAAACCAAGACCTGACCTGATAGCAGACAGTATGGAAGAGATGCAGCCAACATACACAGGTCCACGCGTGTTCCTCATGGTACTGCAGGACAAAACACTCACGCATGAAGAGATGGAGATGATCGCAGATTTAATAGAGAAATTTGGAGAGAAACTGCTTAAGAATATGCTAGCGGTGCTCATTGGCAGCAAAGATGATAAATCTGAAAAGTGTGAAATTGAGGAGAACCTCAAAATGTTTTTAGACGAGTGTAAGGAGAATATATATGTGTATAGGAGCGATGTGAAAAGCACTGATTTGGTCGAACAGCTTATGGGAAAAGGAAAAACACAGGAATCGGAGAAGAACTAAACATCCGGAAAAGATATCTGATCAAGGTTATATGTTACAGGTTTATACACAGTTGAAGTCAAAATTATTCACCCTTCTAATTTTCTTCTGTGATAAATATTTCTCAACGGAAAATTTTTCACAGTATTTCCTATAATGTTTTTTCTACTGGAGAAAGTCTTATTTGTTTTATTCTTGTAAACCCTTTAAATGTCACTTTAAGCTGAATCAGGGTTTCTGCAGATATCAATATCAAATTGAAGACTAATAATTGTTAAATTTAAGACCTATATTACGATAAATCAAAAACACGCATACACAAAAAATGCACAACAAAAAAATGCCAAAAAAAATAAATAAAGTAATAATAAAAAATAAAAATATATTTAAAAAAAATGTGGCAAAACACATTTATTCGAACTAAACTGTACTGAAGACTGGTTAGATGCATCACTGAACTTGAAAACTTGGGGAAAAAAAAAAAAAAACATCTTAAGGCTGATTTACACTTTCGCCTAGGGGCGCATCATGCACCTCCGCTGACTGCGACCGCACCTCAAACCGACAAGGCTCTTTAAAATGTCAGGGGGCAATCAAAAGAAACCCACTGTAAAGTTAGACGGATAAACAGAGAAGAAAAGAAAAAAATCAGAAACTACGTCATATCATTAATATCGTGCAAGATTTTTAAACAAATAATTTTTTATTAATTTTTATAATGGTTATAAAGTTTTATAACCATTCCAATTTTAATCAAACTTTGATGCATCACTTACATTTGTTCATATCTCAGACAGTTCTATACCTTATAAAGTTTATTAAAATATTAATGACCAAAAAAACATGGGTTGCTCTACAAATATATATATATATATATATATATATGTATATATATGTATATATATGTATATATATATATATATATTTATTTTTATTTATTTTTTTTTTGTGGTAAACACTGCTTAATCTGAAAGCAGCTGCTAGAGATCTACAGCTGATTACGGAGCCGGTTTTACTGCTAAAATGTTCATAAAGTTTACCTTTGGATTAATCATGCTGCCCTTCCCTTAAACAATGGTTTGAGTATTTAGAGAATGCATAAAGGAAAAACTAAAACATACCCTGTGTTTAAAGGTATTTTTTGTAAGGGTTTACAGTAACAGACTATGAGGAAGTAACTGTGAGAGTTCCAGTACTTTATCAAAGATGGTATTTAGATGAACATGCCAAAGGCTATCATCACTTACACCTCCAGACAGTTTCAGATATTTTACATTTGCACAAACAGCATTAATGACTCAGTGTTTTTTTTTTGGCAACACAGAAAGATAAGCAAAAGAGAAACAAGACCCAGTTACATACGTATCAAAATGGGCCACTGCACCAAAGTAAGTTTAAAATAAATGTAAATAATTTTACACACACACACACACACACAAACACAAAGCATATTAAATTTTCCACATAACACTAGTGAAAATAAATGTTCCATCATTATTCAATGAAACTTGTTTTGTTTTTTTGTAAAAATGAACATACTTATTCTCGCTTGTACTAATTCATTCATTCTCCTTCAGCTTAGTCTCTATTTCAGAGGTCGCCACAGCGGAATGAACCGCCAACTATTCCAGCATATGTTTTATGCAGCGGATGCCTTTCTAGCCACAACCCAGTACTGAGAAACACCCATACATTCACATTCACACACAAACACGCGCACACACAACGGGCAATTTAGTTAATCCAGTTCACCTATGGGTTTCCTATAGCTGCTGTTTCCCTCATAGTCCAAACACACATCAACACGGGGAGAACATGTAAACTCGAAACAGAAATGCCAACTAACCCAGCCGGGACTTGAACCAGCGAATTTCTTGCTGTGAAGCGACAATGCCAAGCACTCAGTCACCGTGCCACCCGCACTTGTACTAAATAAAAACATAAAACAATAAGTTATCATACTACATTTATTACATTTGAAATGATCAAAAGCATCTTGCAGACAAATGATTCTGAATAAAATAATCTGTGTCTGTTTATAAAGTGACTTAACTGATTTTAAAACTGTTGTACTGGCTTGTGACCAACTAGTAAGACAATAGACCCTATTCCCATTTCTGGATTTTTAGTAGCGGAAGATGTCGAAGTTGGGAAAACTTGAATGGGAGAGAACAACAAATAATTTTTTTTTTACAATCTTATCTGCTCGAATAACAAAAGAAAAACTCCACAATTATGTTATAACAAATTTTAAGAAAAGGAAAAAGTTGGGGAGAGAATAAGGTCAAATTTAAGGTCCTGTCCCATAGACGGTGCATTAGAAACACCTCGCACAAGCAGTAATTCATTTTTTTGTAATTTGAAGCAAAGATGATGCACTACATACATAAATGATTATAAATGTCCATACTGTACGTTTAAAAAAAACAAAGAAAATCAGAATATTAAAGCCTTTCAAGGACTAAAGATGCTGATGACCACTAAACACGTCATAACAGGCTTGTGAAAAGGGTCTATGTAATATGGGGGGGGGGGTTACGATTTTAAACATAAAATGTTTCGCTGCTTCTTTGGTTAAACTTCTTTGGTGAACTTTGACAAGCTTTTGGAATGTCAACTGAGAATTTAAATTAGTCTTAAATATTTAAAATCAATGGAAACTTTGAGCTTTTCTCCTTTAAAGAATACATCAGAATGATTGGTCACTTTTTGGTGTGTGTGGGTGGGTGGGTGGGGGGGGGGCCTGGTTGTGTGACCTTAAGACACAAGTCACACAACCAATAAGAAACATGTATTGTAACTATTGCCTCGGTTAAGTAGTTTGATGACTGTCGTCTGTTCTTGCATGCACATAAAACAGTGCCATCAGTACACATTTGAATACTAATTAAAACACAGACTTGTGAGATGCTATACATGTACAAACTAAACAAGACAGTGCTCAAAACTGATCCTTAAGAAACTCCAGTTACAGATTTTGTACTGTCAAATATGAAGTCATCCATTTGCTCATCCTCGAGCGGTTCCAAAACTTTGAGTTTTAAGCACTGAATGAGTTTTAAAAACAAAAAAACAATATATTAAAGATAGCTGAAAAAAAATTGTAATCATTGGAATGCGTAGTAGGAAAAGCAAATAATAATAACAACATGTACAGTTTTTTTAAAGTATCTTTTTGAAACAAGCAAGTAAATTATGACAAATTTCAGAGTAGCCCTTTAAATTATTTTAAAGGACATCTTCTGTAAATCATGGTACAAAATGTATTTTTTGTTGATGTTGTTCAGGAAAAGAAAATGATTTAAAAACAGACTACTGTACAAAAAAAATTGCATTAAACATGCATAGACTGCTTCAGAATATTCATTAACAACCATTTTAAAGAACATAAAATGCAGTTGAGGAGGTGGCAGCTGTTATCTAGACGAATGACGAGTAACTCGACGTGTTATTCCAGATTTCTGACGAGCACTTTTTTTTCCCTCAATCATTTTAGAACAAGTCAATTTTCTCTTTCATTTACTCATGACTGTGCTTTCCAGTGTCAAAGAAGCATTTAAGAGTTCTCATTCTGATCAGCATTTAATTCAACTTCTTCCTAATTCAACTCAGCATGTCACAAAGTAAGTACCAGCTATTACTTTCTCTATTTCTTCAATTTATTTAATTGTGATGGTGACATTTTAGCATTTTGACTTCTGCAATTATTAGTCTTTAAATCATATTGAATTATATCCGATTATATCTTAATTTGATTTGTGAAAATAAAATGACAATTTTACACAAGTTTTACCTATAAATTAAAGAATTGAAATGTGCATTTAAAAGTTACAAGCATGACTAAAGCTATTTTAGTAAATGAAACTAAAACGGAGGCTAAAACTGTGAAAAAAAAAAAAAAAAAACATTGTTCTCTAACTAAAATTAGTTAACAATAAAATTAAAAACTAAAACTAAACTAACAACAATCACTTTAAAATAAACTGTGATAAAATGAGCAAAACTATAATATTTTGTAAATTCATAAGGACTCGTTATGTCGTGGAAAATCTGACCTGCAGCTTGTAACAGTGGCAATGTACAAAGTCAATATTTTCTTGTAAATAACGAAGAATAATAAAATAAAGTAAAAAAACAATTCTCCGCAGAGGCAGGATCCAAATCACGGTCTCTTTGTGTCAGGGCTCTGCGACGTACCCACTCAGCCACGTGACTCTTAAAAAAAATATTTCCCACAGCAGTGTTGCCATACACCAATGCACCTCGGAAACAAAAAAAAAAAAAAAAAAATAGTATCATTGACTTTTGCACCAAACAAATGACTTTGCCCTAAAGATTAAAGTAAAGAATTGTTCGGGTGCCAGACAGGATTAAAACCTGTCAAATCATATATATTAAATTATGCCCAGATAACAAATTTAGCATCAGACACAAACCATTCGTTACAGTTACACACAAAATGAAGTGGAATAAATGATCAAACGAGATTCAAATTCAACTCGGTTTATATTTCAACCAAAACAACATGGAGAAAAAGATGCACTTTTATAGCCAAACACATCTGCCAGGCACATGATTTATATATAAAATCATATTTTCCTAAGCATAACACACGTGTTCTGTCTTTTCTTCTTCTGCCAAAAAAATGTCAATTAGGCATGTTTATTGTACTAATTACATATATAGTATAAACTTTAATATAAGGAGGTTTTCTGAATTCTTCATTAAGTTTACCTAAGTTCATTGCATTTGTATGGTAATAATTGTGCATTGTAATAATTGTTTAATTTTATTACTAAGAGTTTAGCACAAGAGTTAAATTATTTGGAAACATTATACTTTTCTTTGGTCGACACTTAACTTTCCTCTCAAAGGGATAGTTCACACAAAGATGAAAATTCTGGCATTATTTACTCACCCTTTCATAAGTTTCATAGTTCTGTTAAACGCAAAATAAAATATTCTGAAGAAATTTGGAAACCTGTAACCAAAACTTCTATTGTATTTGTTTTCCTAATATGAAAGTCAATTGTTACAGATTTTCAGATTTAAAACTTGGAGAATAAATAGTGAGTACATTTAAAATTTTTGGGTGAACTATCCCTTTAAAACTGCTCAACTAGAAATATTAAATCTAAAAGTAAATAAATAAAAGTAAAAAAAAAAATGTTAAGAAATTAAAAACAAAACCATAAATGAAACACTAATCTGAAACGCCTAACAAACCTAATAGTATGGAAGTGAAAACTCATTAAAAAAAAACCCAAAACTATACTAACCATTACCAAAGCTCTTGAGAATCAAACTAGAAAGTCTTCTTCTTTCTATAGTGGAGAGCACGAAAGGGGAGCAACCTGGCAAAGGTGACAAGATTGCTATGGTGCTACTGGGAAAGAACAGCCATGATAAGTCAATAATAGAGAACATCATGCTAAACACCAAAGATTTCACTGCTGGAAATGAAAAAAACACTGAAACAACGGATGGCTATAACATCTGCATTATCAACACTCCAGACCATTGTCATAAACAAAACACAAAGCATGAAACTGACAGTATGAGGAGTATAAAGGAGATCTATCCAGGTCGTCACGCGTTTCTACTGATAATAAAAGACACACAGCTTTCAGAAGAAGAGATGGAGATGTTCACCCAGCTGAAAGTGATATTTGGTGAGAAAATGGTGGAAAATATGATTGTAGTACTTGTTTGTAATCAAGAAATCAAATCTGGAGAGGCATTTCTCCAAGCTGATGCGAATCTGAAAAAATTACTAGTTGAGTGTGGACGGAGATTGTGTGTGTACAACCGGATAAAAGACATAAAAGGTAATGAGCTGCGAAAACAGATCATGGAAAAATGGGAGTTTTTACGCAAGAAACAGGATTATAAAGCAATAATTCCCCCACCTGGACCTGAGAGGTAAGACACATGTAAATAGTATGATTAAATCTATTTAAAAAGGGATAGTTCACCCAAAAATGTACATTTTACTCACATTCAAGTGGTCGCAAACCACTGAGTTTATTTTGTTGAACATTAAAGAAGATATTTTAAAGAAAGCTGAAAACCTGTAACACTTCCATAGCAGGTAAAACCTATAATAATGTGGAAGTCAATGGTTACAGGTTTTCAGCATTCTTCAAAATATCTTCTTTTGTGTTCAACAGAAGAAAAAAGTCAAATAGCTTCGCAAAAAGTAAAGTGTGTCTAAATGATTATAGGATTTTCAGTTTTGGGAGAACTATTCCTTTTTTAAAAACATATACAAATCTTTTTTAAGCATAATTACATTTCAATTCCATAGGACTTACGAAGAAATGAAGCCAGTACCACAGGTATCATGGGGGGCTGAAAAAAGCAAAGGTAAAAATCTTATAGATTTTCAGTCACGTTTGCCATTTATGATATCAACATGCTGTTTTTTGCTGCATTTTACATCGGTCTAAACCAGTGGTGGGCAAACTTTTTAGACCCGAGGGCCACATCAAATTTTGCAAACTAAGTGAAGGGCCACAGATCAAATTCTTCAAAAACTAACTTTTATTTATAGTGGCAGTATGCATGGAACATGTAATATCAGACAGAAACAGGTCACATTAACACAATCAGATTTTTTAAAAATATTAAGTTAAATTTAAAAGTCAAATTAATTTGCACTGCTATTTATATTTGCTTATCAATTATCATAAAATAATAAAATAATCCCTTATAAAATATAATAATAATAATAATAATAATAATAATAATATATTAACACATGAAAAATAATTCTTAAAGTTTACTATTTAGTACAATTTACAATAATCTAATTTGCACTGCTTTTAGAATACACAAATCAATCATCAAAACTTGAAGAAACCATATATCTTTGATAAAAGAACTTTTTAAAGTGGAAGTATGCATGGAAAATAGATTCTATGACAAAAAATTACACATTTAACCAGCAATTATTATATAATTTGAGTCAAATTCACATCAATCTCATAAGCTTGTATTAATATGCTCACATCAATCATTATAAAACATGAAGAAACACAATCATGATGAAACAGAAGAATCTTAGTCTTTGTTATTCCAAGTCATGTTATTATGAGTGTGTTAAAGTGAACAATGAGCCTGAGCTCTTTTGGCAAGGGTGTCAAAGTCTGGAGTCTGCTACGACAAAAACACGAGGCGCAGCAGGTGGTTAAAACCCTCGCGGTCGTTAGTAAACCATTCAAAGGAGGCGCCTTTTAGCGCATAAAGCACGTTCAGTGTGATTGGCCCCTTAGGTGGTAGTGTTTAAAAACAGCAATACTTTCTTGGCATATTATACATGCGGCTTTCTGCGCGATATTGATGAAGAAGTATTTTGTTGTCCATTCTTCCTTAAACATACGACATTCAGAGTCAATTTTTCTTTTTTTTTTGCCCGACACATTTTCTGTCATTAACGGTCGAGTGCATTTTAATATCCCAGAGTGTGTTCTAATTCTACTGGTTGTGCTAACTGTACCGCATGCAATACTGCCGTCACGTGGTGTTCACTTGTAATTGCATCATTAATTTACTTTTAAAAACTTCCTCGCGGGCCGGATTAAAGTGTTCAGCGGGTCGCATATGGCTCAGGCCGTAGTTTGCCCACCTCTGTTCTAAACAAATCATATTCTTGCAATACACATTATTATGCAAAACAATGCTATGATTGACATTTTCTGTTTAAAAATGTTGACTTACAGCAACCCCAGAGAAGTTTCTGCAAAGAGGTAAGCTATTTACACAGTTTGTGCGATTGACAAGAAAGAAAAAAAAATCATGACATTTGTATAATAATCTTAAAAATAATAATCTCTTAAAGAGATAGAATTTACATTTTTGGGTAAACTGTCATCATATACTCCCCCCTTACTCAAACTTATAGGAGTTTCTCTTTAGGGGTGTCAAACTCAATTCCTGGAGGGCCGAAGCCCTGCACAGTTTAGTTCCAACCCTGCTCCAACACACTTACCTGTAGGTTTCAAACAAGCCTGAAGGACTCAATTAGTTTGATCAAGTGTGTTTAATTAGGGTTGGAACTAAACTGTGCAGAGCTGCGGCCCTTTTGGAACTGAGTTTGACACCTGTGATCTAACTTGACGAGAGATCAGGGCTGGACTGGGACCCAAAAAAAAAAAAAAAAAAAAAAACATCAAACGTAGATTAAAGATTGTATATAGTGAATTAAATGAACTTAAACAATTAAAAAAACGCTACAAATATTTGTTTGGGCAGAATTACAAAACTAAATGTAAAAAAAATAGAATTAGTTTTGCTTAAGTTGCACACTTTTATCATGTACTGTTGAAGTGAAATATTAGACCCGCTGTTTATTTTTTTTCCCCAAAGTTCTGTTTTACGGAGAGAAGGATTTTTTTTTTAATAACTCATAATAACTGATTTATTTTATCTTTGCCATGATGACAGTAAATAATATTTGACTAGATATTTTAGACACTTCTTTACAGCTTAAAGTGACATTTAAAGGCTTAACTAGGTTAATTAAGTTAACTAGGCAGGTAGGGTAATTAGGCAAGTTATAGTACAACAATGGCTTTTTCTATAGACTATGAAAAAAAATAGCTTAAAGGGGCTAATAATGTTGGTTTTAAAAAAAATTTTAAATTGCTTTTATTCTAGCCAAAATAACAAATAAGACTTTCTCCAGAAGAAAAAAAAACATTATCAGACTCCCTCTGAAAATTTCCTTGCTCATAATTTGGGAAATATTTAAACAAGAAAAAAAATAAATAAATAAATCAAAGGGAGGGCTATAAATTCCGACTTCAATGGTATAAATAACATTATAAACATAATGTATAAATATTATTGTAACTATAGGCCTACATCATACTATTTGACGATCAAAAACTGAAAAGTAATGATATCACAGGCGATTGTCTTCTGACCGAGTGCACCTTAAAGAGACATGAATGACATTTATCAAGCTTGAGAAGCATACAGTTCTGTAGGATCTATATAATTTGTAAAATAAAAACGTTTCAGGTTAAGGAAACAGCATGGGGGGAAGTTGCCGTGGGCCTTGGTGCAAATGAAAAGCAAAAACTATTTATATAGACAGATAGTTAACTAGAAGCACGTTGCTTCTGATCTCCATATACATGCACGTGGTTTTAAACAGGCGTGACTCTAAACTATTTTGACAAATTACATCGATGTTGCACGCTCACACAGAGCCAAAAAATGGGAGTTTGTGATTGGGTCATCCCAATGTCAATACTGAAAAGAATCAATGGGCTGCAGATTATGTCACATGGGCCTATCCGTCTGGAAAAAAAAAAAGGAAAAAAAAAAAACATCTTACTTGCAGAGCGTCACAGATCACAGCATCGTCAATTAATTAGGCTGAATAAAAGACTGCTAAGTGTTTCATGGGCCGATCAGATCATAAGAAAATGATCAGTCCGGCCCAAAAAGTACATCAGCCCAGTGGGAAACTGCCCGGTCTGCCAGATGTCCAGCACACCTCTGCCAGAGATCATGTGGCTGCAAAATGGCCACTGAGGAATAAATAAGCCTCAGACTTTAAAAGCTGATTTTTCCATCTGCATTGAGTAATCACCGTGACTCACGGCGCTTGGCTTGTGCGTAGACGTGTATTGCTATAATTTAGCATGCTGTTTGTGTTGCTCTGTAATAACACTTCCAAAACACTAGCTGGCAGTGGGTGGGTCACATTTAACTGGCAGTGTAAACGGGACCATGCATTACTAAAAATATATCATGACAAGCTGTTACAAGATGCACATTTTTCAAATAATTTGCGAACTGTCTGAATTTATAGCACAATTAACCGTCCGGACATCTGGAAATGAAGAAATGACTGGAATGACGACAGTGGTCCTGCTAGGAAACGATAGAAAAAAGAAGGATCACATTGGGAACATCATTCTGGACAAACCTCATTTCCAAACTAAAGACACTTGTGAGAAGATTCTGCATACTATTGATGGTCAGAAGGTGTGTATTATCAACACCCCAGACCTTTTTCATAAATCGGTCTGGTGGGATCCAGAAGGTTCCAGTATGGAAGAGCTGAAGCCCTCATACACAGGGCCACGTGTCTTCCTCCTAATTCTCCGTGACAAACATCTGTCTTCACAAGACATGGAGATGTTTACTGAACTAAAGAAGAAGTTCGGAGAGAAAATGGTCGAAAACACGATTGTGATGGTTGAAAAGAAGTTAGCCTCTAGCTCAATGGACAAACATATTTCCTTCAAAAGCCAATACCACGCAATACTGGAAGAGTGCGGAAGACGAAAGTGTGTTTACAACAGAGAAATAAAGAATGTTGAATTAATCCGAAAACTGAAGAAACACACTGAAGGCTTCCAGAATTACCAAACATTGGCATTGCACAGAGAAAGGTAGGTTTATAGACTTATATCAGGCTGCACGATACTGAAAAAAAAATAACAATGTGATACTTTTTCTGTGATATACAGTGGGGAAATAAGCATTGAACATATTTCTAGAGGTGACTTTATAGGTGAAATTTACACCGGATGTTGGTAGCAACCAAAGAAATATATATATATATATATTCAAAGAAAACAAGCAAATAAATGGACAGATTAACTTCTGTGATAAAATAAAGCCTTAGGGAAAAAAATATTGAACACATGAAAGTGTAGAAGCCGAGACAGCAGCTGAAATCTATCAGCAGTTCTTCAGCAACCCTCTGCTCTTCGTCATTGTAAATGAATATTAGCTGCTTCAGTCCAACATCTACATTAGCAAAATGATGAAGATATAACCAGGGTGGACATTTCAGCAGGACAATGATCCAAAACACAGCCAAGAAAACTCTCAAATGCTTTTAGAGAAAGAAAATCAAGCTGTAGAATGGCTCAGCCAATCACCTGACCCGAATCCAATTGAAAATATAAAATAAACATCAGCTCTGATGGACGAGACCCACAGAACCATCCACAATTTTTACGCTCTGTTGAAGTCTGTGTGTGTGTGTGTGTGTGTGTGTGTGTGTGTGTGTGTGTGTGTGTAAATAATATATATATTTTTAAAGAGGCGTCTTGAAGCTGCCATAACCAAAAAAAACAAAAAAGATCGTTTGTGTTTTTACTAAAATCTGGTTCAATTCCATGTCAACAGCTCCTTTAGAAATATTATTTTTTCCCACTGTGTGTGTGTGTGTGTATATATATATATATATATATATATATATATATATATATATATATATATATATATATATATATATATATATATATATATATATATGTGTTTGTGTGTGTGTGTGTGTGTGTGTGTGTGTGTGTGTGTGTATATATATATATTTTTTTTATATACAATTTCATATAATTTATAATTGTAGACTAATTGGAATGGTTCTGTAGGGGATTGCATCTGCATAAAACATAAGAGACAATCTACAAGCACAATAAAATCCAGTAAAGAAAAAGACATATTAATTAAACGGTGTTTTATGGTTTTGAGATTTCAGGTACAGTAACTGAATAATCCATTATAAAATGCTATAAAATGTGACTATTAAAATCGATATTGATGCTGAAAATATATATTTTGCAGCCCTATACTAATAACATAATTAAAATGGTATTTAAATTACTTTAATTACTTGTTAAGTAATTAAGTTACTTTTCAAACGATTTAATTACCTAACTCAATCCTAAAAACCCACATACATCCAAACAGACAATGGATATAAATCTCCTAATAATTTAAATTGAATTCAAATTTAAACAGCACTTTTTAGTTTTGTTTATACTAACATAAAAATAAAACATTCACACCATACTTCATTTAAACATTAAACATGTAATTGTTTCTTAAAAATGTACAATGGTCAAATAAATGGATCTTTCTTTAGTTCATTCATTCATTTTCTGTCTGCTTAGTCCCTTTATTCATCAGGGGTCACCACAACGGTAAGAACCGGCAACTTATCCAGCATATGTTTTACGCAGCGGATGCCCTTCCAGCCGCAACCTAGGATCCTAGGAAACATTTATACACACTACGGCTAGTTTAGTTTATTCAGTTTATCTGTACCACATGAGTTGGACTGTGGGGGAAAAACAGAACACCAGAAGGGAAACCCACACCAACATGGGGAGAACATGCAAACTTCACACAGAAATGTCAACTGACCCAGCCGGGACTTGGGCCAGCGACCTTCTTGCTGTGAGGCCACAGTGCTAATTACTGAGCTACCCTTCCTTCTTTAGTTGAACATTTAAATTATGCACAATATCTGAATATATATATATATATATATATATATATCTGAATATATCTGAATATATATATATATATATATATATATATATATATATATATATATATATATTAAAAATATATATATGATATATATATAAAATGAACAATAAATTAGTTCATTCAGAGAACTACAGTAATCATATATATACAATGAACTAATTTCTTGTTTCATTTTTCCCCTCAAGCACATGGAGCTGCCTTGATAAACTTAGTCTTCTTAAGTTGAAAAAAATATTCTGCAAAATATATTTGTATTGAAAAAATTATGTATACATTTACCTTTCCCCTCTGAATTGACATATACAGAACTGCCGAATTTATGTCCAATAATTAAAGTAGAAGCAACTGTAATTACACTTAAAAATGAAAAGTTCCCTTAGATGACTTTTTCCAGCGCAAAATTAGAGTAACTATTTACTTTGTAATAGGCCTGTAACAATGTCTTTTTGTTGTAAGATATATTGCACCAAGATATTTAGCCAAAAACGACATTATTGATGTTTTAAGAACATTTTATGCCACTCATTACATAATCCCACAATGATAATATAATAGCATCAAAATGCAAGTACACTCTTCAAACGATCAGGCATTGGAACCAGAATGGGAAAATGTATTACCTAAACAAATAAATAAATATTAAATGTTAACACAAAAGTGCAATTTAAAAGAGGTTTTAAAATCTGCTATCAGATCCATTTTCAGTCGTCAGACACCCACATGAAAATGTAATATGGTAATTTTTAGTAAATACTATAGTGTATTATTAACTATGCTGACACAGACACCTTCCATAAAGACGGAGATGTTGCACAATCAGCTAAAATGTTGCTAGAATTGGTTATGTATGGGTGATATACAGTTGTCAGAATTATTAGCCCCCCTGAATTATTAGAGCCCCTGTTTATTTTTTTCCCCAATTTCTGTTTAACGGAGAGAAGATTTTTTTCAACTAAATAATATTTGACTAGATATTTTTCAAGACACTACTAAAGGCTTATCTAGGTTAATTAGGTTAACTAGGCAGGTTGGGGTAATTAGGCAGGTTATTGTATAACGATGGTTTCTTCTGTAGACTATTGAAAAAAATTAGCTTAAAGGAGCTAATAATTTTTGTTCTTAAAATGGCTTTAAAAAAATAAAAACTGCTTTTATTCTAGCCGAAATAAAACAAATAAGACTTTCTCCAGAAGAAAAAATATTATCAGACATACTGTGAAATTTTCCTTGTTCTACATCATTTAAGATATATATATTTTTTTTAATTCAAAGGGGGGCTAATAATAATAATTGACTTCAACTGTATATTGCATCACCAAAAATAATTGACGCTATGTTCTTGTGTTGTGGAATAAGTCAACATTGTGACAGTGGCATAGTATACCCAATTACACCCAACACTGGTTATTTATGGACAGGAGATTATTTCTTTCTTTGTATAACCCCACATCAATCCCTCTTTTGTTTGCAGAGGCCCAGACAGTTTCAGAAAGCATGAAAATGCTTTGCAAGCAGTACAAATACAGCCATCTATCAGAGAGCGTCCCCAGAAAGACTTAACCATCGTTCTGCTGGGACAGACAGGAAGTGGAAAAAGTGCTTCAGGAAACACCATCCTAAAAAAGCAAGCTTTTAAATCGCATGCCAGTTCTGTGCCAGTAACAACAGAGTGCCAAATGGAAAAGGGGGTTGTTTTTGAGAAGAATATTACCGTTATAGACACCCCAGATTTCTTTAATGAAGACCTTACAGACCAGGAAGACCAGATAAAGAGGTGCAAGGACCTCACTCAGCCTGGGCCTGATGTGTATTTGCTGGTCATGCAGCTGGGACGTTTCACTGAGGGCGAGAGAGAAGTTCTCCCAAATTTGAAGAAAGTGTTTGGTGAAGAAGTGACTTCAAAAATAGTGATTCTTTTCACGGGCAAAGAGAAGCTAAGAGACAAGTCTTTACCAGATTACATCAGTGGCAGTGACCAAGAACTTCAGGAACTGGTCAAATCCTGTCATTCAAGGTGTCACGCGTTTAACAACAACGACAAGAACCATCACCAAGTGAAAAAACTGCTGGATTTAATTGGTAGCATGCAGGGAAATGCTGAAAATTATCCCAAAAAGAAGCAGAAGGACAACAAAGACTGTGTTATCTTGTAAGATATTGAGCTGTTTGTATGTAAACAAAACTAAAAGGGACCACACAATTTCTAAAAGTAAATGTTTACATATCCATGTGTAGCTAATATTTATGCTTTGAACTAACATTTGCCATATTAAGAAGGATCATTTATAGTTGAAGTCAGATTTATTAACCCCCCTTTTAATTTTATTTCTTTTTTTTAAATATTTCCCAAAGGATGTTTAACAGAGCAAAGAAATTTTGACTCCATGTCTGATAATATTTTTTCTTCTGGAGAAAGTCTTATTTGTTTTATTTCAACTGGAATGAAAGCAGTTTTTATTTTTTTAAAACCCAGTTTAAGGTCAATATTATTCGCCCCTTTAAGCTATAATTTTCCGATAGGCTACAGAACAAAACATCGATATACAATAATTTGCCTAATTACTCGAACTTGCCTAGTTAACCTATTTAAGCCTTTAAATGTCACTTTAAGCTGTATAGAAGTGTCTTGAAAAATATCTAGAAAATAATATGTGCTGTCGTCACAGCAAAGATAAAATAAATCAGTTATTAGAGATGAGTTATTAAAACTATTATGTTCAGAAATGTGTTGAAAAAATCTGCTCTCCCTTAAACAGAAATTGGGGGAAAAATAAGGGAGCTAATAATTCTGACTTCAACTGTACACCAGTATCTTAGACAAATAACACTTTGAAAAACTATAGCACTTGAATAACACTTGCCAACTGGTTATTGTATAGAAATGAATGACATAATTAACCTAAATAAAAAAATTCAACCCTGAACATGACTCTGTATTAAAATCGCCGCACATACCTTTGCGATGATTCTGTTGGGGATCTTCACAGTGCAAACATTCATCCAATCCAGCCGAACCATCATCAAGTAAAAAAACTCCTGGATTTGTATGTTGGCATGCAGAGAAATGCTGAAAATAATCAGAAAACAAAGCATAAGTACTAGGGCTGAGAAATTTGGATTAAAATCATTCAACTACAATTATTGAATCGTTATTTCACTGACAGGTTCTATACAGTAAATATACTTGCATATTAAAAGGGAGAATTTCTTTTAATAAAGGTGCATTATTTGATTGTAAAATAATCGAAGAAAACACACAATTTACTATCTATGATTATTTATTTAACATCAACATTAAACAACTGAAATTAAAGCACACACTGCCTAAAACGAACAGTGACTGCTTTTTTATAAAAATAAAATTGACAATAAATGTCTTTTTGGAAACAAAATGAATTATTTTCAGTGTTTTCATATTAAAAGTAGAAAAGAAGCAGTATCTCTTCATAAAATAACTCGTTTATATGCTGTAAATAATATTTCAAATAGTGCATTTCTTGCATCTACTGTAAACAAATGTTTTAATGTAAATAATAATTTGAATGAAATGGAACATAAGCCATATTGACCTTATTCTAAAATGCGGAAGTGCGCCTGTTTTCGCGATTGTCTTAGAACTTCCGATTCAGTCGCCTATGGGAGAAATGACTAGGAATAATAAACGGCAGAAAATGGCCAAACTACTTGCTCAACAAACAAATGTTTGCATGACTACACAGACCAAGTAGCATAATATAATAAGAAAATATTAAATTGCAACATCAAGCAGCGTAACAAGCAGTTGTTAACGTCAAAAAAATGAATGAAAGTGAATGTGCCCGGAAGTGGCGAGACAAAAAGATTCAAATGGCAGCGCCCGCTCGACAGCTGAAAATAGGCATCTCTGGCCCAGCTTCCAATCATAGTCAATAGCCCCTTTCACACAGTGATACCGGTAAATATCTGGAAAATTTCCGGAACGACTTTACCGGTATATTCAAAAAAGCGCTGTTCACACAGGCGAGGACGTTACGGAATTTTTTCGGAAAAGACCGTTCACACATCCATTCCAAAATACCGATAAATTCTGACATCCTTCACCACAAATGAGCTTTAAACGGCTGCGCTTGTATTTGTAAACATTTGACTAAATTACAAACTCTGTGGATGATCAATATTGTGAACAACTTTCGCAGGATCACTTTCGCATGTCGAGATGTTCATAATATGTGCGTGTACAGGCGCTCACAGGCAGTACACAGGCACACGCAAAGCTTGAAGGTAAACAAACAACGGCTTATCATAAGCATCTCATCGATGATTATTTACACAGTTGGCATTAAGAAGAACATATAAACGTGATCTGACTAACTTCTAGCAGCTAAATGTGTCTGGAAAAATATTCAAAGGCTTTTTTTCTCACAAACCGCGCGGACGTAAATGCGTCTGACTGTTGTGATTGGCTAAAGCAGAATCTTCCGGAAAGGTCTGTTTGTGTGAAAGGGGCTAATGTAGTGCAAAGTAACTAAGTAAGCAGGGTCACGTGACTCCACACGCGGTAAGGTAAGTAATTGAAAAAATTGACTTGGAAAAATTAGATCGATTATTGCTTCTGAATTGTATTACTTTGATTAATCGCTCAGCCATTATAAGTACATGAAAGATTGCATCATCTTGTGAGATATTGAGCTGTTAGAATGTAGACAAAACTAGGCATGGGACAAACTGTTTTCAAGGTATACTGCAATTAGGAAAAGTAAAGGTTTTAAAACTGCCAAAATTGTCTGCTATATCGTTCTTAAGGTATGTGTAAGGTTTTTTATTTGCATTTTTTAAGGACAACAGTATCTCCAGCAGAAAATATCCAAAGATGCCATTTTAAATTTAAAGAAATCTGTGTTTCTGAAACAAAAGAAGACAGCAGGAGTCACTGACTACGTTTACATTGACATCAGCATTCGAATTATTTGCTTTAATCTAATTAAGAAAATAATAAGCCTAATGTGTTTACATGAGTTGCTTTTTGAGTGTTACTTTCATGATCCCGTTTTACATGTTATAGCACATAATTCGATTAACATCATTGTGTCACCGCGCTATCCACATTTCCTCCGGAGTTTCATGCAACTTCGGCTGTTTCATTTTTAATTTGTCGACTTTAACTGCAGTTTGGCACTTTCACTTTCATCCACGAACATTTCATGCATGCCCTCCGTGACAAACGAGATACTGGATGCAAATATGGAAAAGTGTAGTTTTAATGGAAGTACATACCACATGCTGAATGGAAGAAATAAAAAACATCCACATTTCACGATGCAGGTGTCTGTGGTCTACACTAACTGTGTAGGTGCAAAGAGTGTTAAACAGCCGTGTGTGTGTGTGCGTGTGTGTGTGTGCGTGTGGACTATCTTGTCACAAAATGCAGTGAAAAGCCCTACTTGACAGTAATAGTTTGATTAAGGTGTTTACATGTCTGTACTAAACTTCAATAATGTGACGAAAATCGGCATACTCCACACATCTTAATTCGATTTCTCTTTTTTTTTCTCTCTTTTCTCGATTATGACCTTAATCTGATTAAATTAATCAAAGGGGGTAAAAAGTTGTTGTTTTTTTACCCAGATATTTAAAAATAACTTATTTTAGATTCGTAATCACAATAAGTGAAACCGTGAATTTTAAATCTAAGCCATCAGAACATACCATCAGAATCTTATACCGGCCCATGACAAAACTAAAACGGACCAAACAGTTTTTAAATAAATATCTAAGTATATGTGTAGCTAATTTTGATGCTTTGAATTAACATATGCCAAATTCAGAATGATCAAATATAAAGTAGTCAACATTTGAAGTGGATCACCATTCATCAAAGTTGTCCCAAAATTATCCAACAACAGCCAGGACAATATCGAAAAACATTTTTGATTCACTTTGAATGTTAACTACTGTATATACACACCTGTATTTAACACAAATTAAGCTTTTAACAACTATAGCACTTAAACAACACTTTGCCTGTTGGTTATTGCATTGGAAAGAAGGAAATATTTCATTCAAAATAATAATAATAATAATAATTAAACCCTGAATATGACCCTGTAGTAAAATCGCAGCACATACCTTTGCAATGATTCTTTTGGGGATCTCTACAGAGCAAACATTCATCCAGTCCAGGAGGGTCATCAACAATTAATAGAAAAATGCCAGGATTAAATTGTTGACATGCAGGGAAAAGCTGAAATTAATCAGAAAACAAAGCATAAGGACAACAAACATTGTCTTGTGAACTATTGAGCTGTTTGTATGTAGACAAAACTAAAAGTGACCAAACAGCCTCTAGAAGCATGCATGTATGTGTGTGTGTGTGTGTAGGCTAGCTAATATTTATGCTTTGAGTTAGCATTTACCAAATTCAGAATGAATCTAATTTATACACCTGTACTCAACACAAACAACACTTTGAACAACTATAGCACATCAATAACACTTGCCTATTGGTTATTGTGTTGGAAAGAAATGTTTTATTTAAATTAAACCCTGAACATGAATCTGTGGTAAAATCCTCTCAGCACACCTTTGCAATGATTCTCTTGGTGATCTTCACAGTGCAAACATTCATCCAGGCAGGCCTGCAACCATTTCACAACTAATAAACCAGAAACATCTCCTTCAAACACAAATGTTTGCAAGGCTAGGTTAATTAAAGGCACGTGGTTTTGCCCCACCCATGTTTAATGACCACTATGAACCAATCAAAATGGGGGGGGACTAGGCTGAAAGTTGGGTTTGTATTATGGTTAGTACATGCTGTTATATGCAAGCGAGGTTCAGCCAAAGCTAAGGAAACTATTATAATTTAATAGTTTAATAAGTATCTATCAACTTAACATATTAACCATGCAGTATATCGTTAAGTTTTATAATCTGTGAAACTGTAAACTACTAGCCACTGACCACAAGAGGGCGTCATACGTTCAGTTTGTAGCGTCAAATCAAAACTGATTTGATTTTGTTTGCTTAATGATTAAACATTATATTTATTAAACATAAATTTGCATATTTAAAATTATCGACACATAGGGATGAGTAGTTGGGGGGAAACCTTTTGAGACAACAAGAACACTGAGAAAACAAAGCTGAAAGTTGAGACTGTACCATAGGGTAGCCTACATGGTGCCATGCACAGGTTCAGTCTCTAGTACAGCTAATGTCAAATCTACCATTACTTAAATATTAACCAGTTTATTACCACTGTATTAACCAAACAGTATAGCATGAAGTTTAATAACCAGTAAATGTTACATATTGAAAACTCTGAATTGTGTACTACAGAGATTTAACACAAGAGGGCGACATTTCACGTGTTCAGTTTG